GGTCACAATTGTTATTGTTTCCGCCACTCCTGTCGGAATGCAATAACACCACCCCCAGCCCCCAGTATTCCACCAAGACCTTTCCTTTGACAAACAACGCCTGGAGTATATGCTAGTGCATCATACTCAGTTTTAAAGAAGATTCCCCAGCATCTCCATGCAGTTTCAGTATCAGTTCCAGTGTTTTACGGACCGGAAGAAGATTCCGATCATGACGTTGTTGTTGTTGTTTCCGACATTTGTGCCGGAAAGCAATAACACCATCCCCAGTTTCTCCAGCTGAGGAGTCCCTCAGCTGGATCCATCCCCAGTTCTCAAGGACTGGAAGCCCCTGTGTTTCCAGTCACGATTGCTGTTGTTTCCAACATACATGCCGGAAGCCAACAGCACCAACCCCATTATTCAATCAAGACCTTTTCCAGTAATTTACGGACCGGAAGTGTTTTCCGGTCAGGTTGTTGTTGGTTCCAACATTTGTGCCGGAACGCACCAACACCAACCCCAGTTACTCCAGCTGCTTTGCCTCAGCTAGATCCACCATCCCCAGTTCTCAAGGACCGGTAGCCCCAGTGCTTTCTGGTCATGATTGCTGTTGTTTCCGGCCTCCGTGCCGGAAAGCAACAGCACGATTGTTGTTGTTCCTGTCTTATGTGGTAGACAGGCAGAAACACCCCCAGTATTTTACCTCCTGACCAGCAGCGGCACCAGGGTTATTGGATTTATTATCAGTGTCTTCTTTGAGAAGACATTCACGCAGCTGCTCCTTTGGGCAGGCTCAGCTGTAATTTGGTGAAAGAAGTACGATGTTTCCTTTTTTCTTTTTGGCTTTTCTTTTTTTTTGATTTTTTCTTTTTGACTACATGTGTCCTTGCACACTGGGGTGTGACTTGCCTTAATTGGCTTGCCAGTGTGCTTGACACCCATTTCCTTGATCACTGCGCCTGGGAACTTGCCTACGGGTTGGGGATTGAGGCCCCCCATCCTACGGGCTTGGCAGTGTGACCCTATTGTTATTATGTCCTCTGAGTTCAGTGTGGGCCTTCGTTGGCCTATCAGTGTGCATAGAACTTGGTCGCGTCTCCACAAAACCTCCTCGGAGGGAGGCGCCACCCCTCAGAGCAGCTAGAAGCGTTCTTTCCAACGAAAGCTATGGTTCTGGCCATATAGTGCCTCTTCTGGTTCACGAGGTTAAATATAATATTAAGATTTTTTTAGGATCCTTGGTACGATGGATTGTATGATATATATATATGAATAGTACCTTATGATATATAGGTAGGAATGGTATGTCCATCCATTCTGAGGGAGCATCATGTGCTCCCAACACCGTACGTACATATCGATTCAACATAGTACGTACGTATCCATTGCAATATCCAAAAATTGAAGATTAGTATATGGTACATTTGGGGGCCAGCTCCATATGATACAAAACATCTACCCCCCTGCTATCCTAGATTTTTTTAATGCAAGCATCTGCAAAGCATCTCTCACATGTGCCTCCAATACACACCCTATCACCCTGAATTTTCAACCTTGCCTCATAGTAAACAGCCACCAGAGAGTGTCACACTACTAGATGGGCTGGTCTTTGAGGCATACTCCACAAAGAGATGACACAAAATACCTACTTTGCCAGAGACTCCTCTGGCTTCTACTGTTACAAATTGAACCCTCCAAGAAACCACTATAACAATTTTTTTCACCTAACATACTAACCAGCCCACCAACCTCAATGGTTGTGCCTCCACACTGACTCCTTGGAGTGAGGCGCCGCCCCTCCAAGCAGCTAATAGGAGCATTCTTCTCCCCACCAGAAGTTAAGGTTCTGGCCCACATAGCACCTCTTCTAGTTCATGAGGTTAAATATGATATTCAGATTTTGTTGTTGTTGTTGTTGTTGTTGTTGTTGTTGTTGTTGTTGTTGTTGTTGTTGTTGTTGTTGTTGTTGTTGTTGTTGTTGTTGTTGTTGTTGCATGTACTCCAGGTCTAGTTCTTCAAAAGGATTGTCTTGGTTGGATACGGGTTTGGGTGTTGATGTGGGCGGACATGAATATTGGAATAAGAACCAACATCATGATTTTGATTGGAAACTTCTTACCTCTACAGGAAGTGTTGCATGGAGAGACTGGGTCTCCAAACTGAGCCCATAGCATATGCTTCAGGTCTTGTTCTGCAACATAAGAACAAGGGGCTAGGTTGAATAAAGCTCACCAGCACAGGCACTCCTTGAGAGGGAGGAGAGTGACCTGACAATAGGAAGGAGGAGAACACCAATAGCTGTGGAGGGCTTGGAGGGTGCAACAAAGATGCAAAAGAATCTGTTGCACATGGTAGCTTCTGTGGAGGACAATTCTCTGGTTTTATGAATTATTCCTGGTTTCTCCAATTTTACCCTATTTTACCTTCCATTTCAAATGAGTTTTTTGGACATCAGAAAACCCAGGAATTTTCGGTTGGTCCATTCGAAACTGGGGTTCTGAATTTGCGCGCGTTGATTCCTGGGGCCCCGCAGGAACAATTGCACTGCAACGAAATTACTGTATCTACCGGCCGGTACGAAAAATGAACGTTTCAGCTCATGTTATCATTTTGCTGTTATTGTCGGTTTTGCCAGTTGCTTCCTCAAGACAGGCGATTAAATAGAGGTTTGCAACGACACGGCAAGCAAAAAGCAGCAACGAGCTAGACACKGCTAAGGGCCTACTTCAGTTGCACCAATTCTGTCGGACCTCGTCTCCTACTGGTACGCACAAACATGGACGAAAATGATGACAACGACGTTTCTATTCCGCCATTGAGAACATGTGGGTTGAGGTCAAATGGAAAAACAAATAGTAGTGGGAAGAAGAACCGCCTTCGACGCGAGATTGAATCATTGCACCAGGAAATGGAAGTTACAGGGTACGCAAAGGGGAAACTGGGACATCGTCAACGGAAGGTTCCGCGAGACGTTTCCAAAGTTCGAACTCAAAAAAGGAAAATGTTGGAAAAAATCGATGATAACGAACGAGCACTTTTAGGAGAAGAGGAGGAACCCGAAAATGACAACATTGGTGATAACAAATCCGGAAAGAAGCGCCTCCGAGGTTCTAGAGCGGCTGCTGAAGAAAGCGTTATTCGAGGAAGTTTGATATTTCAAACCGCTGTTGGAGTTGAAGATGATGCTGTTGACAGAGAGGAGGAAGGAGAAGAGGAAGAAGATTGCGACATCGAAATTGGCGAAGAAATGCATACCAAAACTAGGAATGAGAAAGATAATAAATTTGAAGACAAAGAGCAATCTTCTAAAAAGTCTCAAAAAACTCCGCATCATCGAAAAACGCCAAAATCTAGTCGATCTGGCGGACCGAGTACAAAAAAAAGACGGAAGATGTATCGATTACGGAACTTTCAGTCCTTTAAGATGGCACAAAAACACGGAGATGCGCTCGCCGCGCATGCAAGGGGACAACCGGGACTTGCGATCGAACAATTAAAGGAAGTCGCAAGAGGTGCTCCCTCTGCTCCACAAGTCTACTCGTCCCTTGGCATGGTCTACGAAGATATGCTCAAGGAAAGTAGGAAACGGCATCGACACGAGATGGAGCTATCTGGTGCTACTTCGTCAGTCGAAAGTACTAAACAAAAAACGGAAGTGATACAAGCAGAAGAGAGTGACCAAGGAGAATCGAAAGAGGAATCGATTCCTGATCGCTTTTTGGCCAATCAATGCATTCTTGCAACTAAGGCGTATGGTTCTCATCATGTAGCAGCCATTTTATGCAAGAAAGATTTTACATTGTGGGTTCGGGCTGGTGATTCAGCAATTGATATCGCTGACGTTCATGATGAGGTGATGAAATTGCCGCATCTTTCCGAAAAACTTTGCGAATATCACAGCATGGAGAAACGACGATGGCAAGACGAAGCTCTGAGAGATTTTATTGTTGCTGATAATTTGAAACCGGCAGGGATTGATGTACCTGCAAAATTAGCTCTGATGCATATGCAGCTTGGAAACTTGTCGGAGGCGCTGACCATCCTTACAGATCTGAAAAATAGAGCAGGGTATGATTTTCATTGTAGCTACAGAGCCTGGATGCTTTACTCTGATCTCATGCTGCGTTTGGGACACGAATGTATTCAGTGGAATAAAGGTATACAAACAAATGAAAACTATATGTTTCGAAGATGGCTACGGAAATTCTCAAAAATATTCGATTGGCAGGAGCGTCGACTTCAGGCTTTATCTCTTGCATTTGAAGCGGCAGCTGGGACTGAGAATGTGAAAATATTTCTTGACTGGATTCGAAATAGAATTGTCGAGAAGACAAAGTGCGCTAAAGAGGTCAACTCGAAAGCACTTTCATCCGAAATTTCGACTCGAAACCAGTCCGAGCAATTGAACGCTGAGTCATCCCTCCCAGGGTTTCCAGAGAAACTGAAACAGGACTCAACAGAATCGATTAAAGAATCAAAGCAGGGAGCTGGAAAAAATGAAAATACAGAGGGCAAAACAACACTGCACGAAAACGAAAAAGAAGGATTCCAAGTAACGAAGGAGAAGAAATTAATGGAACTAAACCATTCTCGAGAATTGGAAGCTTTTGACAAAACAACAACAGAAATGAACTTGGTCCCTGGGTTAGCAGCAGCGAAAGAGAGGGACCTTGCACGAAGTGTACTGTTGAAATCACACGATGCAGCACTCAGTAAATTATTGAAAGAATATGCGGAGAAACAAGAAGATTATGTTTCGAATGCTAAAGGAGAAGAGGAGAAAATTATAGGGATGAATGCAGGTCCTTTACCTATTTCTGGGTCGATAAGAAAAGTCTGTTCAATAGCATCAGAACTTATGAAGCATCTTCTTGGACTAGAATTATATGATGGTGCAAAGCTTGTTGGAGATGCTGTTTCTTTTTATATGAAGCAAAGAGCATGTCGATACGAAGTAAAGATTGAAGCCAAAAAGAAAGCTGATGAATGGCAGCGAAAAATTCTGGACTCACCATTTTTTATCGACTCCTATGACGATGGGAACGTGTCGAATGACGAGATTGATTTGCCATACTTATCTGATGACGAAACACTTCTCAATGATGTTGAAGATTCTCCGCTTATAGAATCTTTACGCAAGGGAGCTTTGACACCAGAAATCCGTGTACTTTACGGCTTGGCTCTCATAGGTGAAGGGGGGCGTAATTTTATCGCGGCCAAGGCTCTAGAAGCGATTGATGACTTGGAACAGGAATCAGAAGAATGGTTTTCCGAGGACGAGAGCAAAAGAAAGCATATGGTCGAACCTTTTTGGGTCTTATTTCGTAGAGCCATGACGGAAGAACTTCGCCGCACCGGGGCGTATGCGTTCATCGCAGATGTCCTGAGAAAAACGAACAAAGAATATGAATGGGGTTTTCATTTTGCACCGTTGTTTCGCCGTCACCTAGAGAGTTTGAAACACAAGGGTTCGGTTGATAAACTATTGGGTTTGAGAGAAAATGTAACACCAAATATGACGTTCAAAAAGAATCAGCTATTGAAAGTGATTCTAGAGGCTTGTAAATTTGAAATGTATATCATTGACGAGCCACTAGAGACCAAATACGCGTTCAACAAACTTCCTTCTCTCAGTAGGAAGAAGCGAACGGATATTGCGCAGTCTGTCTTGGCTTCAATAGTAAATATTATTCCGTTAGCATGGTGCATTGAAGGCAACGGAAACCTACCCCCTATATGTGCAGAGGTAAGCGATACTGTCGGACTTTTGTGTACGTTCTATCTCATTGAATCTGCTTACCGTCGTTGTTGTTCAATAGATTGTCAAGGTTTTGGCCAAATGTATTGGTTGGCTTTCGACTATGGTTTTGGACGAATTGCCGTACTCAGCTCTTAAGAAACTGGCTGATCAGTGCACGACAGTTGTGTCATACTTCTGCGGTAACTCGATTTCAAAATTCAACGATACCGAAGAGAGAGACATGAGAGTACTGGAAGAGTCAGAAACCTTTCCTGTGATGTCATCGTGGCAGCCAACAGAATTGAGAATGCTTTCAATCTGCACGTACAATTTTGCTGTCGCGTGCAATGTTTCGCTCTTTTCCGGTTGGGAAAGTGAGGAGTTTACGATGAAAGTATTAAGAAAACGGCAAGGCCAACTCAGACATTTTGGAGTGCATATTGGAGATAGAAGACTTTCTGGTTGTCTACCAGATGTGATTGAAGACGAGTTGAACCGGCAATGGAATTTATTATCCAAAATCCAACCTTCATATCCTAAGTTAGATTTTGCTGAAAAGATGAAATCGATCAAACAATCTGAATGGTTCCAGTCCGAAAGCAAAACTCGACAAGAAACTCTTCGCCACGCACCAATTGCGAGTTATGCGGAAGAAGATGCCCTGCAGGTTTTTCTGGCTTATACAGCCATTTGCATCCATCTATCACGGTCTGAAACGGATAAAAGACTTTCCACTAGGTCGCAACAGTTGGCATTGAGCGTTTTAGTACCACTTGTAAGTGTTACTATTCAGTATTCTTTGGAGTCATAACTGTGGCGTATTGTCCTCTCACATCCTATTTATCCGAAAAAGTCTCAATTTTGTTTAGATGAAACTTTGTGGGATTCTGACATTGGAGAAGCCGCTACAACTCTTGCAAGCTACGAGGAATGGCAGATTATGGCTGGTAGAGCGCACTACCAGCCTGTTGGTGAACGTGAGGGTGTGTACCAGAAAAGGATTCGAAAATCTATGAAGAGAGAAGCCGGGAAAAGAATACTATACGATAAGAAAGTTCAAGAATGGATCGAAGGGGCCTTGAGTCCAACTTCTAAGGATTTTATTCAGATTCCAAACACAGAGCTAAAAATGTTATGGGCACACGCAGATTGTTCGAAAGAGACGCTGGTAGGAATGCAATCCGAAGGCGCTGAGGAGCAAATGAGAATAGTTCACAAGGCTATGAACGGTCTACGAGCGTGTTACACATACGCTGCAGCAGAGAAAGCATGCTTGAACCTGTCGGTCGCGCTTCTCGAAATGGCGGCAGTTTCAGATTGCAATGATCCTTTCAGTTGTTTGCAGCAAGCTGCATTATTTGCAAGTCAGGCTACAAAATCTGGAAATAGTGACACTCAGTACCGCCAAAGCCTACCTGAGATGACTAAATGTAGTCCAACAGAGGCGTTGATTATCATTGGTAGGGCTGATTGCCTGCAAGCAGTATATTTTCCCAACGAAGCGGCCTACCTTTGCAGCTTCGTTGCCCGGGTATGTCGGTTGCATCGAGATTCACGGGAAGTCAATTTCAAATGGAATGATAGATGGAAAATAGTCGGAATATATGCTTACAACGTTAGTGTTATGATTCGCATTACTGTCAGTAATATTCTAAATCAGACGATGCAAAAAGCATTTATGGCCGCATGGGAAAGAGATGTTGTGGAAGAACTGGAAAGGGGAAGAAGAGATGGCAGATCTTGGATAAACGCTCTATCAAGAAATGTTAAAGATATAGGTCTGGAATCTGGGCTAAAGCTTGATCCCTCACGTGCTAAAAATGTTGAAAAACTTCAAGGGGCTGATAGTGTAGGTCGACTGGAACTAGATGAACAATCGGGTGTAGACTTGGCGTCACAAAGAACTCAGATGCAATTTCTCCATACAAACTACGATTCAAACGTTCAATTCGAACCTGAAGAACTTAAAAAGAAGGTAAGGCAACTATTAGGTACACAAATTGATGACGGTGATGATGGCAAAAAGGTGAAAGACATTGTTCAATATTCAGTTTAGTCACAATACTGTAATGAAAGATTTGAAGATTTGCTCTGATAGATATTTAAATCAGTTGAAAAGTTACTGAGGCGTATGTTGTCCGTCTTTGCGATAACCCTATCATGTTTCTTCTTCTCTTGGAGAAAGTCACGGGGAAATTATATCCGAGGGATCCGAAGTGTAATAACAAGATCTTCCATCCAACGAGACAAACATCGTACTTCTGGTCTTTTCGTTATAGTAAGCCTTAAATCCTGTGTTCGTATTAGCATGTTGCTTGATGGTCTCGTCAAGCAAACCTGAATACTCATCAATATCTTGGAACACCTTTTCTACGGGTTCGGCGACTGACTCTGGAATAGTATCAGCAGCTATGACTTCCAAAGACGAAGATCCTTCCACAAATCCCTCAGCTTTCAACTGCTCTACCCAATTTCGAACTCTATCGCTAGTTAGCTCCTCCTGGTTCACCGCATCACAAAGAAGACCACAGAATTTGTCGCCGCGAATGGATTTTGAGTCTTCATGTTCATACCCTTCCGTGCTAGTATAACCGAACAGTTTTGCACCCAAGTTTTGAAAGACATCATGTAGCTCACCCGTTCCATCGGCAAAATTTTCAGCGTATGAGCACTGGTCACCTAGGCCAAATACAGCGACGTGTTTACCTTCGATACTCAATTCTGACATAGAAGTATAGTATATCTCATCCCATCCAGTTCCAGACCGCTCTGTATCTGCACCAGTATTCCAGGTTGGTGTTCCTAAGGTAGGAGATATTTTTTGATGCGGTGAGTTCTCGGTAACTTGAATTAATCCATATAAATTAACTTTCTTTGGGATCTTATTTCCTTACCACAAATAATTGAATCGTACTTTTCAAAATTATCCTTTACAGAACCTTCTAAGGTTTCTACATCGAAGGGCCCATCAGCTTCGTCACCGAAAACTTCTTTGATTTGATCTGCCACATCTTCTGTAGATCCGGTACTTGTCCCATAGAATATCCCGACGCTTGCCACATCAAGCGACGTAGACGAAGAAGGACGGTTTTGCCGCGGAACAACAAAGGCATTAGTTGAAGGAGTTCCCGCGACAAGAATGAGCTTGATCAAAAAATAAATTCTCATTGCACTTGTGCGAAGTTATGATTCCAGAAAAGTGCTCCTCTTGATTCCTGTTAGAGTTTTTTTCAGATGTAAGAATAATATGGTTGCGTTTTGCTGGGTGGCGTCGAGGTTCTCTCAAAAAGGAGAAGAAAAATAGATCAGAATGCAATTACGAAGTATATTTTTTGGTTCATGCAGTAATATTGTGAAGCAGTACCAGGAAGGACCGTATTGTACTTCGTAGTCATGATGTGTTTTACAGTACATACAGTACGGTACGTTCTGTACGGAATGTGGACAGCACCGCCGGCCGCCTGGCACCGCCCACCTCCACTCACTTCGGAAACTCTACCAGTCGTACCGGTACCAGTACGTCGTACACTACGGGTACTGTCGTACGGTAGTATTACAATACCTTCTGATGTGTGACCGGAAACCAAAAGCAGATGGTTCGCATCGGAAAAGATGTCTTTCATCAGGGCTCTCCAGAACCTACGCAGCGCGCGTCCCCCCTTTGAAATCGGGGGGCATGATTTCGTGGGTTTCAAATGAAATAACCCACCTTTCAACCCACAATCCAAAAACATGGGTCATTTTTCACAAAAAAATAACCAATGTTTTAAAACATGGGTTCCTGGGTTCCTGGATTAACCCATGAATAACCCATGAAAGAATAACCCACAAATTAACCCACAAATAACCCACCGACCTGCTGGGCCTATTTTCAAAAATTAAATACAGTGATTAGCTAAATAATGTTAATGACTGAAATATTTAAGAAAATCCTTAGTTCTCCACCATCAACCCAGATGACTGCAAATTTGTGGGTTATTTTTGGTTTATTTCATGGGTTATTAGTGGGTTTCTGGGTTCTTTTGTGGGTTATTTTTCAAATAAAATAAGAACCCATGTTTTAGAAATGTGCGTCCGAGAGATGCTTCTTGTTAGGGTATAATTTTTGTTTGTCGCAACCATAATTTGCTCGTGTTTTTAACACGCGCGGCAAAAACTACACCCTGTTATTCCTTTGCTATCGCATCCCCACTGTTGACCACTTTAACGGACAGTACCGTTTTTATTTTTCTTCGTGACATTGAAAAAAAAAAATCATTTGTGCATGTCGCGCGCACCAAACATAATTCCATTAATGAGTGAAAATTTTCCAAGACCCGTAACAAAATAATATTTTGTCACGATCACATCGTGACCCCCAGAAAAGACTCAATTGTCAAGTTTTTTACTATTGTCATCAATTCCTTTCTCCAGTTTCTTATAATCTATTTTCAAAATGTAAATTCTCACATACAGAATATTACTCCCAATCCTTTTTTTGTATTCTGGACTACTGCTCTATACTAATGGTAGAATAAATAGATTCTCAAAATATGAAATATATACTACTATTGATTTTCAATTTTATTCTAGATCCTCCTCTTCCTTTTCTGTTTCTTCTCCATCTGATGATCCTGCTKRTATATCACCCAAACCATCCTCGAGCAGAGAAGCTCTCAGTGTTGGATCAATATAGCTACTCTGCTTTTTCCTTTTTGGTCTATTACTATTACTAATACCAGTAGTATTGCTGCTACTGTGTTTCTTGTAATTACCGCTCTCCTTCATGAACCTCTCTCTCATCTTTGTCTCTAAGTCCTTCCCTGTAGTATGATCCTCACGTAGCTTTGCTACTTTTCACATAATTCATTAAACAAGTCCTTTCCTTCCTCCATCCAACCGTCCCTATTGCCACTCTCAGCATCACAATACCTTTTCTTCCTACAGCGGATCTCAGGATTTATCTTCCTCTRCTTCTGGTTCTCCCAAACATGGTGTTCATTGAAGATCAATATTAAAGCAAATGCCTCATCAGTGACTGAGAAGATCTCACTGAGAAAATCTTTGTCTTTCCTTTGCTTGAAGTTACTTTTTGTTGGATTGAGGCAGACAAGATTCTGGTCACAAAATAATAGAATTCTTCATTCTCGGCATCCTTGTAGTATTTCCTGTAGTCAGGATTTATACTCCCCCAGCCACTGTAGTCTGGGTCTTCAACCACTCCAACAGTACCTGGGAAGGAGCCTGGTACTCTGTTCTTACCATAATCAGCTGTGTTCAGGTAACAATCATAGGAAGTAACAAAATACTTGCKTTAGTGGGGGAAATAATAGTACAGAAAGGAAACCAAAAAGCAACTTACCAAGCCAGTTTTTCHGAGCCAAGGTTTGTGAATTATGTCTCAATGTGCCAAGTACGGTGACCACCTTCTTCTTAAAAAACTCACGGTGTGATGTAATAACCCACGATTCTAAAATGTGGGTTATTTTTCACCACCAAAAATAACCCATGTTTTTCTAGGCGAGCAATTTGAAAAGGGGGATGCCCGTGTGGGTACTGGAGGGCCCAGGAGTCAACATCTGTTTTGAATGCAGTTTGTTGGAACCATGTTGATTTTGAGTTTTGGGGAAATTTGAATTCTCCAGTCCCCCTTTTTTGATTATGTGATTGGTTTTGACCAGATCTGACCATAAAATTGTTGAATTTCTTGATCAAATTTTTGTGTGATCAAAACTGATCACATTTTTTTCAACAGAATCACCATAATTAATCCAGTTTTCATGATATGTGAATACTATGAACACCATAATAAATGATCGCCGCACTACTAGTAATAGTAGAACCAAATTTTTCTTTACATGACTGCTAATGTTTGTGTACACTACTAATGTTACTACTACTAGGTAAACTTGTTGTAGTATTAAGATATGAAGATTGAATAAAGTACTGGGAGTAGTGGTGCAACGTACGTACTGTATTAGAGGGATACGTACAATACGATACGAAGCTCCGAAGAAAGGAATGAAGAATCATACCATTCCTACGTACCTATCGTAAGGTACGATTCATATCTATATATCATAGGATCCTTCGTAAGAGGTCCGAGGATCGTAAGAGGTCCAAGATATCAGGAGTTAGAATATCTTACGAAGAACATAGACGTCACGAGTCCTGAATAGAAG